CACACTTCCACTTCAAACGTGGGTTTGCTGTAAATAGTTAAGTAACTACCTGATTGGACCTCAAGCTCACAATTGCGAATGGTAGTTAACCCGCGCACTGACCGGAGGGGGACGTATATTATATCCGCCCCCTGAAAATTTTTCGTAAATAAGGAAAAAAGCCGGGGCGCGTAGCATCGCGAAATTTTGCATGACTATTCCCGCATCAATTTTATTGATGCGGGAATTGTTCAACTTTGCACATTGTGTGCAAATTTGAACCTCCTACCTTTCAAGGTCAAGTCAACAGGTCGCTTCGAATAAACCTGACCTCAAATCACTTTTTCAACTCTGTCACCGTGTCAGAGCTACAGTAGATGACGGAGTCCTTTGACAGTTGCAGGATATAATTAGGTCATTGGTAGCTACAATTTGCTTATCTCGGAATTTCGATATCGATGACCTAAGGTCAGGTCAATTTCTTGACCTCCTCATTATGACCTCCTCATACGATCAACCTTGACTACCTTGAGTCACCAAAGCTAGAATTGTAGCCAGATTGTGCACAGATGTTGACTGGTGTGTTCTGGTGAGAGCATGCTGCCTCTATGTTAATACACATAATCAACATAGTATAGGGCTGGCCCAGCTGTTTGGCGGCCCCTGATCAAACTAGAGCTTCGCCGAAAAATCAAGTGTGTTGCCTATGACGAGAGAAAGCCGAATATATCCAATTTCAAAGTCCAAGGTCATTACTTGACTTTCCAAGTCAGGTCAATGACCCAAGAAGTTGGGAAAATCGGGACCTCTTTAGAACTTCGTACAGTGAGGGTGTTATTTCGGGATGTTAATCACGAGTTTCATGTTAGTTTTGATCACAGACGATAGCTTCATGCAATATATGCCAGGTCGGGTTAGGTTAGGTCAGGTCAACCAATAGGCGTCCTGCCTGCTATTCAAAGTAGGTGTTGCCTACCATAGAGATCTTATATACATATATATCTATGTATGTATCTTATATATCTATGTTGCCTACCACTGACAGCTTCGTAAGATGTTACGAAGGCACCACAAATACTTTGTAAATGTTCAAATGGCTGTTAAATTCGAAATCAGCTCCAAAAACTGCTCTAGAAACAAGTAAAACTAAAAAGTGAACCAAGGTCATCAAAGGTCATTGACCTTGACCTGACTTTAACGTGACCTTGTCATCCGCCATACTGCATTGCAACAGCACCATTACAACATATGTTTGAACGTTTAAAACCACAAAAAGACTGGAACCGCGCGGATAATCTGAGCTGGCATACGCCGAATCGCGATTCTGGCCAAACATGGTCTCGAAAAATATGTAGGTCACGGGTCAAAAAGTCAGCTGGGTCATGGAATTTTAGGTTAGGTGTAAAATTGATGAGCTCGAGGATACGGAAAGTTTCGTCGCGATCAGCTGCTTGTTTCACGAGAAATTTGCGACAAACCATGGGGGGTCATCCGACCGAAGGTACCGTGCGTATGTTCACCGTGTCGGGACGACAGACGCACCCACCTCGAATAGTGTTAGCTAATAGTGACAGCTGAAATCCGCTGCAATCATTTTAACTCGTATATGACTGAAAAGAATCGGCATTTCGCGGATTCACTGAAAAAGAATCGCTAGTCCGCGGATTAACTAGGAAGTTCGCAGATCCCCGCGACTCTTCAGTGACTTCACGGACGCACTGAAAACTCTAGTAAATCCGCGGAGCTACGGCAGTGATTTCGCGGATTCACGAGAGTTTACGTGACTCCGCGGAGTCCCTAGGATCAACCAGTGACTTTGCGAACTCACGGATTTCGCGGACACACTGTAACACATACAATTAGAGCGGCATTAGTTAAACCTGAAGCGTCTGTTTCTCTTCGTTACTTCTCTGCAAAGGATTTAACAGAATCTTTTGACTGTCAGGAAATCACATGTGTGAGCCTATTTAAGTGCACCAAGTACCTACCGCTCGCATCAATCGCATGCACGTCCGTGCGTTCATATAAGCAAAAGCTATTGTATTTGAATAGGCTCTTGCACTTGCATGAGATTTCCCGACCACCGAAAGCCTGTTCACCCATAAAAGGTGATGTCGCCAGAGACGAGGTGCATCCGAAACGTCCAAGTTTCGACTAATAGAACATTTGTCTATTTTCTACACCTTTTTAAAAAGCAATAATATTCAGGCATCATGTCAGAATTTTGTGGGATAACGTGATTTCTCAAAGCACATATTTGTATGTCATTCAGATGGGATGAGATATAGAGTCCATTTAACTAAAGTCGCATAGCTCGTTTCCATCACCAGTCATCAACTCCCTGCCTAAATGGTTTCCGTGTTTTCTCTTCAGTCACAGCCAAACGCCAGATAAGCTGGAATGCCGCTGGATTCGACAGCATCGTAACTCAATATTCCGGATGTTTTCCTTCCACACGGTTTTGGAATCCGAACAAAGCAAGCACCTAACTGCGCACATGGCCTGCCTATAGAACTTTGGTGCAGACTGGTTGAAATTCTGCATCCAAGCTCGATTACCGGGTCGCATGAGTACATCATTCTCCATTTGGTAAATGCGACAGCCTCTTCCATACTTACTACAGGTAGTTAAAGTATAGCTACCGCTAAACCTTTAATAAATATTGGGATTATGTTGGCAGTAAAAAGCAATAGGGAGAGAAAAAAACATACGATTACATACACATAGGTATTCAAAACTGCAAAACAAACGACAAAAACGATGAATGCAGGATTTAAAACGAACATTATGCTCGTATGCATGCTCGTTTTCTAGCCCAGTCGTCTGTTTCACGTCAGCTTGACTGACGTCTCTTAAAATGCCGGTGTTGTGATTGCGCTGTCCAAACGGTGTGCGCGGGACAGCCGGCGGTGGGTGCTCCGTACCGTCCGCGCCGTTCGCGATCATATCCCGCCGCGCGGGCCGGCCGGAGCGGCGGCGGCGGAGCGGCGGCAGCCCCGTCAGTGGGCCCCGTCCCTCGGAGCCGTGCCAGCCACCCGGCGCCGTGTTAGGCGGGCTCCGTCCGACAGCTAAAAATACCCGCCCGCCGCCCACCGGCCGGCCGGCCCGCTGGCGCCGACACCTCTGAGTGGGGAGCTGACCAACTGCCTGTGAGTGGGGAGCTGACCAACTGACACCTTGCAGTTGGAGAGCTGACCAACTGACACCTCCCAGTTGGAGAGCTGGCCAACTGACACCTCCCAGTTGGAGAGCTGGCCAACTGACACCTCCCAGTTGGAGAGCTGGCCAACTGACACCTCCCAGTTAGAGCTGGCCAACTGACACCTCCCAGTTAGAGCTGACCAGTGACCAACTGACACCTTGCAGTTGGAGAAATGACCAAATGACACCTCCCAGTTGGAGAGCTGACCAACTGACAACTCCAGTTGGAGAGCTGACCAACTGATACCTCCCAGTTAGAGCTGACCAACTGACACCTTGCAGTTGGAGAAATGACCAAATGATACTCCTATTGGAGGACTGACCAACTGACACCTCCCAGTTGGAGAAATGACCAAATGACACCTCCCAGTTGGAAGTAACCAACAGATCCCCATGAGTTGCTCAGTCCCAAGTCGAGATCCTTCGTCCTGTCCGTTTGCTGCCGTGACGGGCTGCGGTAACGGACACTGCAGACTGCATTTGGAGACGGGCAGCTCCATGGCCTGTGAGTGGGGACAGCGGTGACGGTCTGCTGCACGACTTGTGGTGACGGTCTGCTGAGTACTGTGGAGACGGTCTGCTGAGTACTGTGGTGACGGTCTGCTGAGTATGTACTGTGGAGGTCTGCTGAGTACTGTGGTGACGGTCTGCTGCACGGCCTGTGGTGACGGCACGGCCGACGGACCGTCATGGCGGCAGCTTGAGCCAGCGGCAGGCACACCGGTGACGTCCCGCCAACTGCCGGCGTCAGTGCCAAGGCCGACTGCGTTTGGCATCGAGAGACGACAGTGGAGCCAGCCGAGCGCCGGGCTGGAGCCAGCCGAGGGTTAATGGAACCAAACCAACACCGAGAGATGTCAGTTCAGCCAGCCGAGGGCCTGGCTGGAGCCAGAGAGGGCCTGACTGGAGCCAGCCGAGGGCTAATGGAACCAGTCGAGGGTTAGTAGAACCAGCATCGAGCTATAACAGAGCCAACTGTCTTCTGCTGTCTTCAGTCAACCGTTAATACCTGACTGGAGCCACTGAGAACCGGACTTTAGCCAGTCGAGAGCCGGACTGGAGTCAGCTGCGTATCTCTTAAGAAACAGAGCTGCTGGAGTCAGCTGCGTATCTCTTAAGAAACAGAGCTGCGTATCTCACTGGAACCAGCGGCGATCTCACCGGAGTCAGCCGAGCGTTTCACTGGGGAAACCTGCGCATCTCACTGGATCTAACCGAGTGTCTCCCTGGATGTAGCCGAGCGTCTCACATTATCTACATATAGCCGAGCATCTAATTAGATTCCGTCGAGCATCTCACTTGGTCCAGAAGAGTGGCTTATACGATCCAGCCTAGTGCCTCACTGAAGGCAAGTGTTTAACGAAAGACATCAGAGTGTCTCACTGTGGGAAGCCGACTGTCTCATTAGAGGAAATCGTGGATCTGACCAGCGGAAATGTACCGTCTAATTAAAGGAATTCCTGAGTCTCACTGAAGACATAATTGCAAATGAAGGGCTTGTGTAGTACATTGTACAGGTATGCCGTTTACGCTAGCAACAAATGTGTCTATGGCTGACATTTCGGTGATTTAAATTTGAATAAAATTAAAAGACAGACAAAAGCGCTATGTTATAGATAGGTACGCAAGCAAGCCGCCAAATGTAAAACATCTCATAATGTTTTACTTCATTGTGAAATGTTATTGCCATAGCAAAATCGTAGCGTTTGGCCGATATTGTTAATTCGCTGCGGCAGTTCTGTTATGGGTGATGATGCTGCTCTGTTGTTATCACAGCGTGACGAGCACACAGCGACACCTCGGGTCGGCCGGCGTCCTACCTTTGAGGCCCTTCATGTAGTTGAGCCAGAAGCCGGCATTGCGCTCCAGCGGCCGTCCGATGGTGTACAGGTCGAGGTCACGCTTCCAGTGCACCATGGCTGCACTCCTGTGGGGAGGGGCCAGTCCGGTCAGTGGAGGGCTAGGTTAGAAGGTAATACGGGGCAAATATCAGATACCTAATAGGTAGCCAAAATAGTTCATTAGCTGAAACCACTAATGTTCCGTACAGCTGGAGTCCGAAACCATTTTTTGTGTGCTAAAAATGAAAGGTAGGCAGGCAGGTAGGCGAAAAATAGGCTGAAAGGTAGGCGAAATAAACATCACAAAAGACGCGTGAAATGGCATTGACGTCACCATTTTGTAAACGCGGTTCTTCCCTCGCCGTTTATGTTTACATAAACACCCACTTCTACAGTGTCCTGTTATGAAGCCATCTCACGGGGCAATTCTAAACTGTTTACATATGGCCGCTGACAGGCAACAGCCGCGGCCATAATTTTAACTCTGTTAAATATATGTGCAATATGCATTCCATGTGTATCCTGAACGATAACGGATAACGGGGATATTCTCACGTACCTAATTCTTTATCATGTCGCGCCAGTTAACCTCATCTGATGAGAACACACACGATCGTCCTTACTGTTACATCAGTACCTCACGAGCGAATATTCAAACATTCACAATTCTTAAACCATATCCTTGAGCTATTTGTAGATTATCGATGCATATAAATAAAGCCCCTATTAATTTTCTAACATCCTATATTCCGTAAATATAGTATAATGAGCAACAATTCCATGTTATCGAAGTCTAATTAGTCTTATTATGAAAATCCTGTGCCATTATTTTTTTTTCTCGACATGAAAAATTCGTACGACACTGGTCGACTTAGGTAGTTTCGACATTTTTGAGCGGCGCCCGGCGTTGCAGTCTCATTCCAAATAATTACGCACGAATCTTATGCCGGATACCTAATTGACAATAATATCGGATACGGGCTTCATCGTCGGCTTGTTGCGACCAACACTGAAATGGCCAACACATGACGACTGAAATTCGATCGTGGTAGGATCTTGTTTCAATTGGTTCTGGATGATAATGCCGATTATTTGTATAAGTTTGGTAGCGCACAGAACCTTGTTGAATCATTTGGCACTGCTATTGGAGGCCAACCTGGTTTTGGAAAAGACATAAGGGCAAGAGAAGACACATGCGACACCGTTAGTTAGATCCTGTGCTTCGGAAAGTATTGAAACATAAGCGAAAGCATAAATGAAAATGCTACAATCGGTAAACGCTATATAATGCATTGGCTACCTACAATAAAACAATAAAGGTGTAGACTTCCACTGGCGTCCAACTGGCGTCTAACTGAGCAGACGTCCAAGTTGGTGTCTAACTTGGCGTTTATAACCGTTGGACAGAGACTTCCAAGCTAAACGCGTCTTAAGTTAGCTGTCGCAAGAAAGACGCAGCCGCCGTCCAGCTAGACGCGTCTAAGACGTGAAAAATATACTTAGACGCGAATATATATTACTGAACGGCTCTGGGAAAGAAAAATGGAAACCGAGGTCTTTAAAAAATTGTAGGCACGAGGCGTAGCCGAGTGCCGGAGATTTTTTGAAGACCGAGGTTTCCATTTTTCTTCCCAGAGCAAGTTCAGTAAGATATTTCCCATACGTCGTTTAATATCTATTCAGAAACTCACAATTTAATTATTGAAATCACCTTTTTTAAGATTTTTATAAAAAAATCACCAGAACTGTAGGTCATCAACCCGTGCCGGAAAACAGTGCAGGAAAGATCACGTGCAAATGTTTCCCGCACGGCTAGGATAATGCTAAAGGGATATCTCGGCGTATGGGAAATGGAAGACTCCACCCTAAATAAATTACAAATAGGCAGACCAATACAAATACGAACACAACGCAATGCACATGAAGCAATAAATTTAGCCGCCTCGGCATGTGTTCGAGACTCGCCCGATGTGTAAAATGTGTTAGCCGAGTCTTCTCTTCGCGGCCTTTACTCATCAACACCAGTTCTTCTCCGGGCATATATTTGCCACACCCGACTCATCACAGTGCCGAATCAACACATGATCAACACAACGAACTCCTCAGCGTCGACCGCCACGTATCAGCTGGTCAGCTGACCCCTGACCTTGAACTGACCCAGAAACCCAGACGGTACGAAACTGTATCGTCGACCTTGGTACGGTTGTACTCAGGCGGCCTACCTAATCGTCCCAACACTTGGTACGCCGTACGATTGTACCCAAGGACATCTTTTGTACCAAAAGCTATAAACCGCTGCCAATACAAAAGTCTGTTCGCTTCCAAATTACCACTTAGGCGGAAACGCATCGCAACCTTACACTCCCCCTCTCTTAACGCTACTTCCAACGGAAACATCATAAGGTCATCATTGGGGTACACACACAACTCTGCGACCTCAGGGCTCAGAAACTCAACCCAACACTGGGACCTCCCAAACTCAACGCATGATCAACACAAGATCAAAATACAACCCAACTTCGCAACGCTCCGTACTCGTAGAAGTCTCTTAAGTACCCTGGACACCCACTGTTCGATCACTGAAAAACAGTCCTCGGGGCGCCACTGCCACCCCACTGGAACGCAAACTCGTTCAGTCTCGTCACTCAGTATCACAGATCACTGCACTGAGCTCACCATCGATACTGTCCTACTCAGTGTAGTCTCTTAGATATCTCGGCCGCCGTACGGCTCGACCACTAGCGGTGCGGTACTCACGTCCGCCAGCACCGATCGACCGCTCATCTGCCTGCGGTGGCTGCTCCTCCTCCGGCGCAGTTCGTCCCCGCACCGTCCGTGGCGGCTGCTCCGCCGCTCGCTCCGGTGCCGCCCGTGGCGGCTGCTCCGCCGCCCGCTCCGGCGCCGCCCGTGGCGGCTGCTCCGCTCCAGCGACGCCTTCCGGCGCCCGCTCCAGCGCTGTCGGCTGTGGCCGCTCGGCCATCTGCACCTCCGACTGCTGATGCTCGGCCTCCCGCCCGGGCACCGTCGGCGGCGACCGCTGCCGCCTCTGCTGCTCTGGTGGTGCAGATTGCTGCTGCCCGTCAGCCGGTGACCACGTCCCCGCCGGTCGCGTCGTTTCCGTCGACCGGATCTCCGCCAACGGCTGCTGAGTCGCCATCGGCTGCTCAGACTGCCGTTCTGCTGGCGGCCTCGCCTCGGACGACCCGTCCTCCGGCGGCCGCGCACTCCACAGCTGCACTGCTGGCCCTCGCGAGCCAACAGGCTCTCTGTCGTCTTCTGTGGCATCTTCTGTACCATCCTCTGTACTCTCTTCGACTTCATCTTGGATTTCTCGGGTTCTCCAGTGTTCCTGTCTTTTCAGGTGGGCGCCATGGATGAGGCGCTTCTTCTTCCCTTTCTGGATGATGTAGTCAGGCGTCTTCACCTGGATTACTTCATACGGGCCGTCGAACTTCTGTTCCAGTTTGCCTCCCACGCCGACTGGTCTCCTAAAGTTTCGACACCAGACCGTGTCGCCGACCTTGAAGCTGCTCTCTGGCTCGTCGGTTCTTGCAGCTTGCTCTGTTTGAATCTTCTCAGCCGCTTGCTGATGTACTTCTGTAACTCGTTTCTTCAGCGTCTCGTAGTACTTATTGTAGGAACGATTCCGCAGGTCCACAGAATCGAACTCGGCGGCTGCCACCGTCCTCATCTGAGCTCCATGCGCCATCTGGAATGGCGTGAATCCTGTTGTCGAGTGCACGCTGGAGTTGTAGGCTGCCGCGACCTGTGACAGCAGCTTCGGCCAGTCTGCGTCCTTTGCGAAATGGGACAACATCTCGCAGATGGTTCTGTTAAACCTCTCGGTGACTCCGTTACAGCACGGCCTGTAAACAGAAGTCCTGAGCTTCTTCACCTGGAGCGTCTTGCAGAGCTGACGTATCAGCGAACTCTCGAAATTGCGTCCTTGGTCTGTAAGCAGACTCTCCATTACTCCGTAGCGACAGATGACAGCCAGCAGGCAGTCTGCTACTTGCTCTGCGGTTTGCTGCTTCAGAGGAAACAACTCGACCATCTTGGTGAAGATGTCCGTCATCACGAGGACATACCGATGACCGTCTTCAGTCCTTGGTAACTCGAGGATGTCTGCCGCCCACTGAGCAAACGGCTTGCCTTGGACAGGCACTGCTCCTCTTCCCTCTCGACTGCGGGTTGTCTTGCTCTTGTGCACCAAACAGGATGTGCAGGATTTGCAGTAGTTCTTCACCGTTTTCCGCATGTTGTACCAGAAATAGCTCTCAGCCACTCGATTCGCTGTTCGCTCTACTCCTAAATGTCCAGCTGACGGGACATCATGTGCCAGCTGCAGTACTCGTTGTTGGAGATCTTGTGGTAGCAGGATCTGTGACTTCTCGAATCCTTTCGACTTCCTGATGATGATACCGTTCTTCACAGTGACATCAGGTAGTCTCCGGTAGAATTCGAGTTCCTTCTGCTGATCTTCACTCAGTGTGCTGGTGTCCACCTTCTTCTCCTGCAGCAGGGACTTCAGACTCCTTAGAACTGGATCAGCTGACGTTGCCTTACGCAACTCCTCCTCCCCTCCTTCCAGATGGGTAGCAACAGGTGCGTCTTCAGCTGCATCTGCTCCATCTTGAACTTCGGCTTCTACATCTGCTCCATCTTCAGCTTCAGCGTCTTCGGTTTCTGCGTCCAGTCTTCTTACCGGAACTGGGCCCTCTTGCTGCTCAGCTCTTGGCACGAAAACTGGTGCCTCTGGACTCAGCTCGCTCTTGCTCTCTGGTGTCCTCTGGTCTGCTGCGTCTTCTTCGTGGAGTCTGGATAGTGCATCCACGTGTGGGATCGACCTCCCAGTGACATGTTCCACCTGGAAATCATACTCTTGCAGGATTTCCATCCACCTGAACAGCCTCCCTACTGGTGGCTTGGAACGCATCAGGAACCGGATCGCTTCATGGTCCGTCTTCAGCACGAATGGCTTTCCAATCAGGAAGTGACGGAACTTGCTGACCGCCTTGACCACAGCTCCCAGTTCCTTCTCGGTGGCACTCCAGTTCTTCTCTGCCGACTTCCACTTGCCAGATCCGAAGGCGACAACTCCGTGCTCTTGCCGAAGTTCTGCACCCCATCCAACATTACTTGCATCTGTTGTCAGTGTGTAGGTCTCCTCCACATTCGGTGACCTCAGAACCGGATACTTTTGTAGGTCTGCTTTCAGCCTCTCGAAGTTTTCTTCGCACTCTGGTGTCCACTTGAACTGGACGTCCTTCTTCAGAAGATCAGACATAGCTGCAGTCTTCTGGCTGAACTCTGGAATGAACTGTTGGTAGTATCCAACGAAACCCAGGAATCGTCGGACGTCTCGAGTGCTGGTTGGCGTTGGCCAGGTCCTCACGGCTTCCACCTTCTCACTTGAAGGACTCAGCCCGTGCTTGCTGAGATGGTGACCCAGGCAGTCAACTTCTTCAACTGCGACTTGACACTTTCCAGGATTCAACTTGAGTCCGCTTTTCTCCATCACATCCAGGAGTCTTTTCAGGTCTTGGACATGCTGTTCCATTGTCTGCGAGAACAGGAGCACGTCGTCGAGATAGATGATGACACTCTCCCATGTGAAGTCTTGTAGCAGGTCTTCCATGATGCGTTGGAAGGTTCCAGGACTGGTCTTCAGACCGAAGGGCTGGCGGGTCCACTGATGGAGCCCAAACTCCGTCACGAAGGCAGTCACTTCCTTTGAGCCATCCTCCACCGGGATAGCCCAGTAGGCCGCTCGTTGGTCCAGGATGGTGAAGACCTTCGCTTCTGCAGCAACCTCCAGCAGGTCTTCCACCCGTGGAAGAGGGTACGAGTCGTGCTTGATCTTCTGGTTGACTGTTCGGTAATCAACACACAGACGCCAGCTTCCAGGCTGCTTCTTCTTCACCATGACTACTGGTGAAGCCCATGGAGACTTTGAAGGTTCGATGAGTCCCTTCTTCTCAAGACTCTCCAGCTGCCTCTTCAGTTCAGTTCTCAGATGCACCGGGGTGCGGTAGGCTTTCTGCTTCACAGGTACAGCACTGCCTGTGTCTATGGTGAGCTGATGTGGCCCACGGTAGTCTCCCACCTCATCCTCGGCTTGAGCGAAGACAGCTTGATGCTCTTGCAGAAGCTGTTCCACCTCTTCTCGGTATGGCTCTTCTAAATGAGACACATCAGGGAGCTTCAGCTTCAGTCTCTTGACTTCTGCTTCCATCTTGGTCAAACCTCCATCTGCTGCCATACCAGTCACACATTGGTCAGGGTCTTCGTTCTTCACCTCAGCCAGGACGTTAATCAGACGAATCTTCACTGTGACACGGCGTGACACCTTTCTATCCTGACCATCAACTTGAACAGGCACCCTCTGGGCACCTATCTGCAGTTCACCCTTTTCACAGTCCACAACTGCCTTGATTGCATGTAGAACATCCATCCCCAGAATCACAGAGTCAGTGATGTCATCTGACACTGCAAACACCTGCCCTTCCACAGTCTCATCTCCAACCACCAGGTGAACACTTGCACAGCCAAGACTCGGAACAACTGTTCCATTGGCAGCAACAAAACTCTGATCATTATACTCTTCAACTTGCAATTGTAGCTCCGCTGCCAACTCCGCACTCATGATGCTACACGCACTACCAGTGTCCACCACAGCTTCGACATTCTTACCATTGAGCTTGATGACGGTGCAGATCTCCATGGGAGGGGCCTTCTTTGATGACTCGACTCGTCTCACATGCTGGTTTCCATCACTCCTTCCTGGATTCTCACTTGAACTTGGGTGGTACTTCGGATGACCCATCTGACTCATCTGACTGGCTGACTGGGTCTCCCTGCTGGGCTTCTGACTCGGGCTTGGACACTGACGCTTCATGTGACCTCTGCCTCCACACTGAAAGCACACAACATCTTGTCTTCCAGTTCCAGCAAACTGCCTTTTAGTCTCAAATTGATTCTGACTCGGACACTGAGCTGCCTTATGCCCCCTTTTCTGGCACAAAAAACACTGAAGCAGCCTGATGGGCCTGGCAGAGTCCTCACCTGTTCCAAGGCTGTTCTTGAGCTGCTCAGTTGTCTTGATTCTTTCGATGCGCCTGATCAACGCTTCCACAGTGGTTGCCTCAGAATCTAAAACTCTCAGCCTCCACTTTGACGGCACGACACGGGGCAGCTGTTCACTCACCATCTGATTTCTGGTTTCCAGATTTAAATCAGGCATAGCTGCACTTATAAGTGTTCTCAGTCTGTTGGCCACATCTCTAGGGTCATCATCTTCCGTCATTTTCACTTCATAAAACTCGTGTAGATAAGCACGACGTTTCTCAGAGGGAATCAAGCGTTCAGTAATTTTTGCACACATCAAATCTACACTATTTAAGCTGGAATCATCATCCAGTTCACACGCGAGCCATTCGTGGGCCTCCCCCACCAGTGCTGGCAGCATAGCTATTTGTTTCTCCTCTGCCCATCCATTTGCTTTTGCAATTCGCTTGAAACTCCGAATGAATGTCTCTGGATCTTCATCCGCCTTCAACGCACGTGGTCGAAGCAGGGGTCCCTCCGCCATAATTGTCGCACTATGCAGGTCTTGATTTTCAACCTTAACCTTTATCCTCTTGGACATCAGGCATTGGTTTCGATAATCCCACTTCTGGTTGTTAGCCGAGTCTTCTCTTCGCGGCCTTTACTCATCAACACCAGTTCTTCTCCGGGCATATATTTGCCACACCCGACTCATCACAGTGCCGAATCAACACATGATCAACACAACGAACTCCTCAGCGTCGACCGCCACGTATCAGCTGGTCAGCTGACCCCTGACCTTGAACTGACCCAGAAACCCAGACGGTACGAAACTGTATCGTCGACCTTGGTACGGTTGTACTCAGGCGGCCTACCTAATCGTCCCAACACTTGGTACGCCGTACGATTGTACCCAAGGACATCTTTTGTACCAAAAGCTATAAACCGCTGCCAATACAAAAGTCTGTTCGCTTCCAAATTACCACTTAGGCGGAAACGCATCGCAACCTTACAAATGCAAGGTAAAATGTACGCAACTCATCCTGTCCATTAAACGAACTATGCATGAGCCTTTTTTGTTATTTCGAACGGGGCACACGTGCTCGTACCTATCATGACTACAAGTATGCTTATTAAATAATGGGAGACACATTAAATGTGCGGACGGACTCATGAAGGTAAAAGGTCGCGGAACTTCGCGAAATGCACCGCACATCAACTTATATGTGTAACAAGTCACGGAGCACCTCAAAGGATCTTGGAGTTCCTCCTGTTTTGTGGTAATAAGAGGAATTCCTGCGAAGGTTATCGGATGCCGAGTAAAATTTTACTTAAAAAAGGCGAGTTGAAGCAATATCTTGCGTCCATTGTTTCCAACTCGAGCCGTCTGTCATATCCTCCTAATACCCGCCGGAGATAGTGAGTCCTTCAGCAGTTGCTCCTGAAGGGTCGCCAGTCTCCTTCAGTCCTACAGGGCCTCTTCTGGACACTGGGTATGATGTTGAGTAGTAATAGACAAATATATATATTGAGACGGGTTACACAGCACATTGGGTGGACGCGTTTCGTCTAAATGACTTTTTCGACACCCTCTCGGAAATTGTTTTAATTTCCGAGAGGGTGTCGAAAAAGTCATTTAGACGAAACGCGTCCACCCAATGTGCTGTGTAACCCGTCTCAATATATATAGGTACTGGGTATGATATACTCATGACATTTCTCAGCAGAGCAATGTTGTTTTATATCCTGTGATGGTAGGTAAGCCGGTGGAAGCGTCGTCACTCGTCTTCCAGCACAACTTTTTTCCATCTGGGACCTGCTTCGTCCATTATATATCTGTTGTGTGCAATAAAAGAGTATCCGTCTATTATGAAGCTGCCGTATCAAACAACTTTCTCCACAGTTCAATAGGAACTCCTGGTAGCTGAGAACGCCTGCTGCTGTAACAAAACCTCTTTTCTCTTTGCAGCAAAAATTCCGTGCCCAGTGAATACCCGATCTGTTCAACAGATTCTGGTGTATTCGTCACAACTGACCACTGGCTCTAGAGATCAGAGGATTGGTTTGCAGCTTCCACATTGTTAGCGATCACATTTGCGACGGCTTTCATTCACAGTCTTGCGATCGTTCCGGCTGCAATACATGAGGCCTGTCCGTTGTGTATCACGAAGGCAGCCATCATCTGCCTGTGTGTCCGTCAGCCGTCCGTCCGACCGTCCGTCAGTCCGTCCGTCCGTCCGTCCGTCAGTCCGTCCGTCCGTCCGTCAGTCCGTCCGTCCGTCAGTCCGTCAGCTGTCCGTCCGCCAGTCCGTCAGCTGTCCGTCCGTCCGCCAGTCCGCGAATGACGAATTTTCAGACATACAGGTGTTGTGTCAGATATGCAGATAAAGGTTGTAACCCCGCATGATTCGCACAACATTTCGTTATTAGGTATAATACTCTGACCTGTCGGTGCCCCCTTGTGACCTCTGAACTGTTGCGGCTCTTGTGGTGCTCGGCTGGAGGCCTTCTGGTGCCCAGTGTGATGTCCCTCTGACCTGTGCCGCCCCTTCCGCTGCTGGCTCTCTGACCTGTGCTGCTCCCCTCACCTCCCTTTGCCTCTGACCTGTACTGCTCCGGCCGCCTCTTGTTGCTCGGACCTGTACTGCTCCCTGCGGTTGCCTCTGACCTGAGCTGCTCCCCTCTCCTCCTGTTGACTCTGACCTGTAGTCTGTACTGCTCGCCTTCCTTTGCCTCTGACCTGTACTGCCCCCTGCGGTTGCCTCTGACCTGCACTGCTCCCTGCGGTTGCCTCTGACCTGTGGGGTGTGGCGGCCGGTCGGCTGTCGGCGCAGGAGCGGAGCAGCGGCCGGGCGGCGACGACCTCAGACGCACCACTGGCGGCCACCGGCACCGAGCACCGTCACCGGAGCAGGCCGACCGAAATACCTCTGCCAGAGGCGCCGGCGCCGGCCGCCAGCCCCAGCGCCGGCGGCCAGCCCCGCGCACCCACCGCCGGCAGCTGCAGCTCACGGCGCAAAACACCGCTCATCCATACCGGCGCCGGAGGGTTTAATCCACCTTTTGGAAATGCCTGCTTTCGGTCATATCTAAGGGCAAGGGGTCTGGCGTTGGTGCCCGTGCATATCGTATCCTGAGGAATGTGAATATCCGCAGAGTGTCCGCATCGTCTCCAGGCCTCTGCTGCCGTTCCTGCACGAAATATCCGGGGCTGTGAGCGATAAGTAGCGGGATATGACAAAATAATGGGTGCAAAAAACTGATGTGTCATTGGTATTTACCATAAAGCGCTTATCCCTGCCCTGGGATGGGCGCAGAGTGAGAAGCCTTTTGAGACGTCTTGCCTCGTGTCAAATTGTCCACTGATCACCTATCGATTCTTTTAGTTTTTTAGTTATTCGGTACTTAAGGCCAGTTGTTAGATAGGTTTGACGATTTGTTAAACCTATCTAACAATCTACCTACTCGTACCTATAATAGGCGTGCAGTGGAAGTGCCGGCGGCGGCCCTTGCCGGGGGGCCGGTGCGCGGTGGAAGGGTCCGTCCCTGTCGCCGTCGCCAGGTTCCGGCGCCAGTGGGCCGGACAGTGAGCGAGCACCCCGCCTGTGCACGACGCACCGACACCTGCCAACGCTGCGCTCCCGGTTGGCAGGCCACCGGACAGACTAATCACCGGCCCCATGTCACCGCGTCACAGCCGGACACGGGCCGCGGCGCCGCTCGTTACTCCAGCCACGGCCCAGCCAGCGCCGTCGGGGCTGAACGGGAAACGGGGAAACATGGCAATTACTCGTAAAAGGAGAGCACTTTTGTGCTTTACAGTTTGAACGGGATTTAGTGCGAGAAAATAAGTGTCTTACTCTTATTACCAGTACGAGGTCTAGAATTGATAGAACTATAAAACTGCTTTACCTATCTCCATAGGTGGCGGAACGGGGAGGGCACCGGGGCACCGTGCCCCACTTTGATTTTGGCATTTTAACATTAGCCCTATGGGCTAATGTTAATGGAAAGAATCAGTGCTTTATGCGATAACTAATTTTCGGACCTGCGATAACGATAAAACGATAAGAAAGGTTTGCGATAACGATAAACGATAAACGATAATCAAAATTAACGGCGATAGCGATAAAACGATAACGATAATTGTTTTTTTAACAACGATAACGAAACGATAAAACGATAACGATAATTTTTTTTAACAGCGATAACAAAAGCGATAAGAAATACAGCTTAAATAAGTGTATTTATAAAGACGGAAACCTGAGCCAAGTTGGCGTAGTTTTTTATGCTGAGTTTGCCTTTCTGGAGCAAGTTCATTTATATAAGTCTTGTTCACTCCCCCAGATATGCGGGAGTGGACCCCCCCCCCCTGTGACTGACCTCTGCCCGGTCCGCAGCGCAAATTTATACCACCCGTCGGCGGTCTGACAGATCTGTACACTTAGCAGATAGCAACAGGTTGCGCACACATACTGTCGCGCGGCATACACTGTCGATCGTCTTCCATTTTTCCATCATCCCGTTTTAGATTTTATCGTTTATCGTTCATAATTTTTGTGACTTGCGATAAGTGGACGAGCGTTTTGAAAATTTAGCGATAAACGATAACGATAACCGATTTACTTAACACTTAACAGCGATAATTATCGTTTATCGTTTATCGCTCATCCTATCGCATGCGGAAACCACTGGAAAGAATGGGACCAAAAGTCGGAAGTGCACCCCCGCCCTTAATTGAACGTGTTCCGCCGCTACTGCCTATTTCGGATTTTTTGCATGTAATAGCGAAAAAATCCCGAGTTTTTCGAATTTCGAAAGAAACGGAATATATATATATGTATGTATATATATATATATATATATATATATATATATATATATATATATATATATATATATATATATATATATATATAATTAAATATGTTACAGGGAGTTTGAGAAATCCGTGAGTTTGCAAACTCCCTAGGGAGTTTGCAAACTCCCTGACCCATCAGTGAGTTTGCAAACTCAATAGGGAGTTTGCAAACTCACTGACCGGTCAGGGAGTTTGAGAAATTCCAGAGCGGTTGGGACAAATAAAAACAAGTGTGTAGCATGTGGGTGGCATACGTGCCGTCCATGATGTTAAAACAAAGGCGGCTAGTTGTAGGGCCTATTTAACCGTCGCACGCTGACAAAAAGCTTACAGATCATATGCACACCATAAATGCCTACTTAAGATTTAAAGCTGTTCAGTGATCTAGCCCAAACATGTACCACCGCTTCATTTAGTCATACACTGATTTAGTTCACGTCCCAATTATTGATCTGTTCCACACAAGTGTTCCACACGAGTGCCTATGCTTTAGCATAAATGACCAACTGAGCTGTTTCTACTTTGATATGTTGAGCCTGACTCTGGAAAAGCCACACTTGTGTGGAACGGATACAATTGGGCCGTGAACTGAATAAATGTATGACTAAATAAAGCGGTGGTACATGTTTGGGCTAGATCACTGAATAGCTTAAAATCAAACGTACAGTAGGTCTATTAAAAAAGTCCCCAGCACCAGTGGGCGCTGCCTTCGCTGAGCCGAACCCCCGTCTGCCCGTCCCATATCGCGCCGGGCTCAGGTCAGGTAGGGTCAGCGGGACCGCTCGGTCCGGCCCGCGGGCGGTGGACGGGCGGCCGGTAACGCTTTCCGCCAGCCAGCTGTAGAATCCAACAAACGGGACGGTCACCGCTCAGCGCAGCGAAACCGGTGTTAAAGAATGGCAGTAGATGTTCATGGCCACCAGGGTTGTGCTCGACTCAAAAAAAAAAATTGCCGACTCGACTCATCATTCAACTTCAGAAAGCCCTGACTCAACTCTGACTCAAACAAGGAGCAGATTTTTTTCCTTGACTCGACTCATGACTCAAGCGGCTCAATGAAAATATGAGTTGACTCAAACTTGACTCAAATTTTTTGTTGAGTCAAGTGTGTTGACTCAAAATTGACTCAGATAAAAAAGTTGTTGAGCGGGGGGAGGGGAAAAAAAATTCGGCAGCAGGGCCAGGCCTAAGTTGTTAAGCGGGGGAGAATGATAAGCTTGTATATATTGTTTCTAGAAAGATACCTAAGTCAGCTGACTCATGTTCCTAAATGTTTTTGACTCAACTCAATGTCAAAAGTTATTTTACTGACTCAACTCTGACTCAACTCAACACCTTAATATTTTTGTCTGACTCAACTCTGACTCAACTCAACAGCTCAACATTTTATCCGACTCGACTCAAACCTGACTCATTTGAGTCAGAGTTGAGTCAAATCTCTGACTCGACTCATGAGTCAAGCACAACCCTGATGGCCACAATGATTATGAGATAGTCATTGTTAGCCCGTGCCCCACAGGAATGCCTAGACTCTCACGCCCTGTTGGAGGGGAAATAGGGATTGGATTGAGCATCATTCTTATAGCTTAGCTTTGGGCATTTAAGTGGTATTCGAAGTAGCGTCAAAAGTAGCAAAAAGAAGAAAAAATACTTCAGCCAATTTTAGATCGGGTCAGAGCAAAAGGTCATGTCACCAGAGTTTATCGATGTTAAAATTTTGCTTGGACAGGGTGCGTTGTGCGCACCGGTGCATTGGGTTTCCAATTTCCATGGAAACATCAACAGACTCGGAAGCTCGTAACGCTAGCGTGGAGCCGAATTCATATCAACCGCCGCAACAATGCATGGCAGCGCAGCGCAGCGTGCTGCAGCGCGGGGCCGTGAAACACCGCCCAGGGCTATCCATGTGTCAGGGCAATCCAACCCACGTGATGGGCTCGGCCCCAGCGGAGCATGAGGCCCAGGACTCCCGCCCAGGCCCCCTGTCTCCCCCTAATTCCTGTCATCCTTCCACTCTGAAATCGACCGAAAGAGCCTAACCTAACACAACAAGCAGCTCGTTTACCGCTATGTCTGAATAATATTGTCAGATTTAATTAACCCGCGCCGGGCCGTGGGGGGGGGGTGTTTGAACACCCCCCCTGCAGTTTTTCGCAGATATCTCAAAAAACGGCGGCGCTCCGCGCCGCCGTTTTTGGCACACCTGTTTGTGCATCTTTTCCGCACATGTTGTGAAAATTTCAGACCCAGGTCACCCTAGGTCAGGTCACCAGGTCACGCCAAGTGACCTCACCTCAGAAAAAATAAGAATGCTCGTCATAGCTACACCGATTGATCGATTGCCTTGAAACTTTCAGCGATTGATTAGAGCAACAATATCTATAAAATGTATATCCCGGAATTTTGATATCGGTGACCTAAGGTCAGGTCAATTTTGCGGCCTCTCCATTATAAGTCAATGGGAGAAAAATGAAAAGCGTCTGTTTTGCACGAACGCTATTCTAGACACTCTCAAACATGGAGATATAGGTAAGATTGACACACTGAACCGGAAAATGGCAACTGTGACCCCTCGTTATGTCCCCGAGGTTATCTCAGGTCACGAACAGAATCTAACAGTTTTTCGCTGATAACTTCTGATAGAGGCGTGCTAGAGCGCTGAAAACGCCTTAGATGTGTTCGGCTCGACGTTGCGGATCGACTGATATGCAACATGACCTTTTCCGGTCAGGTCATGACCTTGACCTGAGGTCAAATTTTCAAATTGACCTTTCAAGGTCAACTTATAGTTCATTCGACGCGTCTCGACGAGAGGAACACGATGCTGGCAAAAGTAATGTCATGGCTCTTTTGAGTCAAAAGTTATTGCCGAAAAAACGTTTTTCGTAAAAACGGCTATTTTTGGAGTTTTTGCCCTCTGGAGGCTAAACCGTTGACCTGAGGTCAAATCTGAGGACATTACTCAGAAAGGTCTGTAAAAGGGCTATCGAATACGATTTTCTGCGGCGCTGTAGCTCTATCGGTTCCCGAGATAGCCGTTGTCAGTTTCCAAAATGTTGAAATAGTCAACATTTTGCGTTTGGTGACCTC